GCAGGCAAAACATGCAAGTGTTATGCAATTTATCTATGCATAGAATTCAGAAACCATGACACATTCAGTATTGGCACTTGCCGTTCTTGTGTATTTATATCTCATTTGTACTGTAGGATTGACATTTGTTTATTTTTACACATGGTGGACAACTGGCTCAGGTGAGTCAGATCAGCGCCACCTACTGCTGTATTTGCACCAAGGTATGCAGTAGCACATTCTTCAAAATGTCTTTGGGTTCTCCTGCCATTTGGAATCCCAGGACTGTAGCTGGATTGGGAAGTCCAGAAAAAACTCCAGAAGGAAATGACAAAGCATTTCCTTATTTTTGCTAAGAAAAACACTGAGACCCACGAGGTCACGAAGAATCCAACTTGACTCAAAGTAGGCTTTACTTGTAGATTGTGAAGTTCAGAAATGTCCCAGAAAGATAGCAGCAAACCACTTCCATATTAGTGGAAATTAAACCTAGGAGTGGAAACTATCTGGATCCTTTAACTCAGGGGTTCCCAACCAGGGAGTGCCAGACGATATTCTAGGGCACAGGTCGGCAACCTGCGGCTCCGGAGCCGCATGCGGCTCTTTGAGCCTTCCCCTGTGACTCCCAGCCTCCTCTGCCTTTGCAGAGAGAGACAGAGACAGAAGGAGGCAATTGCACTTCCCTGCTTCTCTCTCTTTCTCTCTGTGTGTGTGTGTGTCTGGGTGTGTGTGTGTGTGTGTGTTGTGTGTGTGTGTATATGTGTGTGTGTATGTGTAAAAGAGAGTGCACTCACAGTGTTCTCCAAGGAGCTGAAAAGCTTTCTGGGCGGAGCTCCTCCCTTTGCTGCGTCTCTGCAGGAAGCAGGACAGGCAGGAGAGAGCTAGCTAGCCCAGCTAGGCTGACTCAGGAATTCTGGGAGTTGAAGTCCATGAGTCATAAAAGAGACGAGGTTGCCTACCCCGGAGGTTGTTGGACAACAGCTTGAAGCTTGCCAGGTGAGTAGCAGATAGGAGGGGGGGAGAAAGAGAGAGAGAGAAAGAGAGAGAGAGGGAGAGAGAGAGAGTGGGGGAAGAGGAGTGGCAGACCAAGGGCAGATAGAGAGGGAGGGAGAGAGAGACCCTTTTGACATCTAAAATGAAGATAACACTGCATATATCCTTTTTTTACCTGTGTGTGTATGTAATTTTATTCTCTTAAAGCATTCTCTTGGTGATCATTGTTTTAATAGTATGGGTATTCCCAAGAGTCATATTTTTACTTTTATTTTTAATGTGTGTGTGTGTGTGTGTGTGTGTGTGTGTGTGAGTGTGTGTATAGAAAACCCGAACAACCAAAGACCTACATATATATATATATATATATACACACACACACACACACACACACACATACACACACACACACACATACACATACACACACCTATAATAAAGGTAAAAAAGGATATATGCAGTGTTATCTTCATTTTAGATATCAAAAGGGTTTTGCGGCTCGCAGTGTTTTGTTTTTGGTGGGAAATGGGTCCAAGTGGCTCTTTGAGTGTTTTGGGTTGCCTACCCCTGTTCTAGGGGTTGTAAAAACTTGGGCTTTCAAAATTATAGTTATAGGGTTTCCTGTCTGAGCTGGGGGTTGGATTAGATAACCTCCAAGGTCCCTTCCAACATTATTATTACTATTACTATTAGTAGTAGTAGTAGTATATGCATAATTTGTTGTCATTTTGAACTTTTGTAAGAGGTGCGAGAATATATCAGAAGCGTTCTAGGAGTGCGGGATATAAAAGGTTGGGAACCACTGATTTAATTGAATACTACAAAAAATTGATGATGAGAGCCAGTTTGGTCTAGTGCAGGGATCTCCAAACTTTTTTTTTTTAATAATTTTTTATTTTTCCAAACTCTCCCCCATACATATACCATGATATTTATCAGATGTTAACATACATTCTTTTTACATTCATATATAAGATACTTTGGATAAAATGAAATAAATACATACACATGACTTTTGGTGTTGCTCGCCCATTTCCCCTTTCACTGTATCCACATTCCTTCTTCTCTATCTTCTTTCTCCCTTTCTTCTCTTCCCTACTTCCCCCTTCTTCCTCTCTTCTCTTTCCTTCACCACTCTCCTCCCCTTTCTCCCCACTTCTCCTCTTCTCCTCCAACTTTCCTACTTCCTTCTCCCCTCCTTTACTCTTTTCTTTCTCCTCTCCTTTCTTCCCACTCAGGGATTTCCAAACTTGATAACTTTAAGACTTGTGGACTGCAACTCCCAGAATTGGCTGGTGGAGGGATTCTGGGAATTGAAGTCCACAAGTCTTAAAGTTGCCAATTTTGGAATCCCCTGGTCTAGTGGTTAAGGTACCAGGCTAGAAAGTGGGAGACCGTGAGTTCAAGTCTCACCTTAGTCATGAAAGCCAGCTGGGTGACCTTGGGCCAGTCACTTTCTCTCAGCCCAACCCACCTCACAGGGTTGTTATTGTGGGGGAAAGAGGAGGAGGAAGTTGTGTCAGATATGTTCACCATCTTGAGTTACTTGTAAAAATAATAAAGGCAGGATACAAATAAATACATAAAAATGTGTGCCAGTATTTTTCATCCTTGGCAACTGTAAGAAGGGCACATGTCAACAACATCTATAACATGCTATCATATCTAGGTTTGCACTGAAAATGTTTGAAGTAAAATGCAACTTTATCAGTCTTCCACATCATGGTGCAGTCTATCTGCAATGCACTGAGTCCTGCAATTTATTTAATTTCTATTGCTGCCTATCTCATCAAGTGACAGGCACATAACCAGGTCTTCACGGCCTTACAAGAAGCTATCAAGAGTCAGGGCTACTCCAGAGGGCAGGGGCTACGGCAGAGAAAGCACATCTCCTGATCCCCACCAGCCGACAGTCTCCCAAGAGACAAGACACAAGCAACACTTTAGGACAGGGGTCCCCAAACTCCGGGCGGCAAACCAGTACAGGTCCATGGCCTGTTAAGAACCAGACCACATAGCTGGAGGCGAGTGGCAGGCAAGTGAACCCTATCGTAAATTGCATATTTGAGGCATTTAGGTTGTTGGCTCCCCCCACCAATCTGTGAAAAAATTGTCTTTCACAAAACTGATCCCTGGTGCCAAAAAGGTTGAGGACTGCTGCTTTAGGATAGGTATTTTTTAAAAAAAAAAATCTCCAAAAACATTCTGGTAATACCGGATCACAAGAATAGGGCTGTGATTAAATGCACACTACCCACAACAGTAAGTTGTTATTAGACATGTCTTTATGACTTGCATCTATACCATGAAAGGTATTTAGTGGAACAATTATGTCCAGCTTTGAGAGATGCAGCTCAGAAAGGTGAGTGTTATGTCAGTTACATAACAAAAGAGGAGCCGAATTCTACAAAGAGGAACAAAGAACGCTGTAGGCTATGTTACATTCTGTTCCTGTTCGCACTGCCATGCCGCACAGCGGGCTCACCTCAAATAAGCAGGCTGGAGTGATGTGTCATTAAAACATGTCTGCGCAACTCTTTGAGCTCCATCAACACCACTTTATGTTCTACACATCCCATAACAATATACAGTCAATAAAGGAAAAAGGATAAGAGCGATCACTGGTTCTCAACGAGGGACTGGAGTACAAGGTGGCATCAGTTATGTGCCGAGAAAAGATGACTTTTCCTGGAGCAACATTCTCCCCTCCCCACTTGTCTCAGTACCTGACTGACCAAGTGATCTGATATTGCATGGCAGCAATCAGGAGGAAGGGCAAGTTAATTGTTGCTGACATATTTGAGGATTAATTCAAATCCAAAAAGGTTACAGATTCGCGATGACGGAAGCAGTAGCTAAATTTTCACCAGTACTTCAATCTGTACTTATTAATTATTGATGCCAGGAAAACCGTCATGAAAATCTCTTTTCAGAAAGCAACCTGAACCAAGGGCCAGCTTTCCAATTTAGCCCCAGCATTGGTTGAACAATTCTTTTATTTTATTTATTATGAAATTTATATACAATGACTCTGGGCAGCTGTTCTGAGCCAGTTCCTAAGCTTAAGGTGGAGCCCCAGCAGACAGCTTTCCGGTGGGACCTCTCCTATATCAGCAAGAATATCAGAGAAACCTATTTCATGTACCCTCGTTAGGTGGGTTTTAATCCAAGTCAATTATTTCATAGTTACAACCAGGATCACTTCAAGTCTGTGTAGTTATGCTTTTAATGTAAAAAGATCTTATGCAGGTAGTCCTCAACCTACAACCACAATTGGCATTGGACAATCCATCATTAAGTGCAGTTGTTAAACGAGACCCCACCTGATTTTACAACCGTTTTTTGCCTCAGTTCTTAAGTGAGACATCAAAGTGATCACAATTTGCAACCTTCCTTGCCAACTTCCCCATTAACTTTGCTTGTCAGAAGCTGTCTGGGAAGGTTGGAAAATATGATCAGGGGACCTTGGAAGGTCGCAACCGTTGTAAATGTGAGCTTGGTCACCAAGCTTCCAAATTGTGATTGTGTGAACAAGGGGATGCTGCAACGGTTGTGTGATGACTGGTTGTATGTTCCCTTTTTTCAGTGACATAGTAACTTTGAATGGTCACTAAACAAATGTTGAGGACCACCTTTCTATCCGTTATTGTTTTATACATTTAACACTCCTAGAAATTTCTGTGAAATTAGAGTTAATTCCTCTTAGAAGGTGATGGAAAATATTCTTCACAGGGCCACTAGTATCAATCTATTATTGAACTGTTTAATACTTCTACCTGTACCTATTACTCCTCCTGGATGAAAGATTGATAGGAATCCGTCTAAACTCAAAGGAGTCTCCCTAATAAATGCAACTTAAATACACTTTAGCAAATTCTTCAGAAAGAACGAATATATATTATTTTAGGTTACACAAAAATTGCAATGATCATAAAAACAAAAAAACCCAATCTGAAAATGAAAAACATTTCAAATTAATCTGGCTCAAAGAAGATTTGACTACCATTATCAAAAGAAGAAGCCAACAGCAAAATTATCTTCTTTATTGTTAATCCTTTGACAATAACCTACATTCGGATTAGGGTAAGGCAGCCAGACTCTCTTATTTTATTTTTCTTTAGGACATGAGAGGTATATGTATTTCTGAAATGTTTCCACTTTTGTAAAAGGAAAGATCCCGCTGCCATTGCAATCCATCTCACATCAATCTTTTAGGATCTATTTTCTCCAAATGGACTAGTGGCTTTAGCTGCTCCGCAAAACTCCTCATGTCATCGGAAACCATGTCTTGTCCCGCTGGGGCCACAATGCTGAGCTCCACAAGGTAGGAGAGAGACAAAGGCTCAATGTTGTCAGTGTTTCCTGGGATAAGGATGCGGAAGATTTTGTACACCACAATCTTCATAATGCCTTTGCGGAACACGTGCCCCTTGGCTACAAACTCGTGGTCCATGCGGAAGCCCATTTCTACCAGGAAGTCTGTCAGGTTGTCTGAAGTGGCAATATCCACACAATTCCGTACCAAGGCATGGCGATTTTTGTCTCCCATTTCCGGCTGTCCAAGATACCGCAAGTGCCAAGGAGCACCAGGTTTGTCCATGGAGCGTCGTGTGCGGAGAACAAATGGGCTGGCCTGTTGGCCTTTGAGAAGGAAGACCATCTCATGATCTAGAAAAGTCTCAGGTTCCATGTTGTCACAAAGGCCACGGAGCCGATGAAGCAGACTCTCCAGACTTTGATCCAAAACACTACCTGGAGAAAAGGCAACACTGGATTGCTAACTTGTCTTTACTGACACCAGCAAAGTTTGTTCTTGTCCACCAATCTGCCATTTTCTAAAAACTTTGTAGGGCCACAAATAGTACCAGGGTCTCTTTAGAAACTGTACTGAGTAGAAAAAGACACAACCTTTCACAAAAGATACGGCTATAATGATTCTTCTTAATCAGGAAGCCTAATCACAAATTATACTTTGTACATCCCAAACTCATGAGATCTGAATGTAAAGCAGTTGTTGGGTGCCAAATTAAGTATAGGTAATCCTCGACTTACAACCACAACTGAGCCCAGATTTTTGTTGCCAAGTGAGAAATTTGTTAAGTGAGTTTTGCCCCATTTTACAACTTTTCTTGCCACATTTGTTAAGTGAATCACTGCAGTTTTTAAACCAGTAACACAGTTGTTAAGTCAATCTGACATCCCCATTTCCTTTAATGTGAGAAGCTCACAAAAGGTGATTACATGACCCCGGGACACTGCAACCGTCATAAACACAAACCAGTTGTCAAGCATCCAAATGTAAATCATGTGACCATGGGGATGCTGCAATGGTCACAAGTGTAAAAAATGGTCATAAGTCACTTTTTCAGTGCTGTTGTAACTTTGAACAGTCACTAAATGAACTGTTGTAAGTCGAGGACTATTTGTTATTACAGTAGTCAAGTTTAGTTCACAGTTGAGTATATATTGTTGTGCAATGTGCAATGTGTCAAACAGCCCCATGGGTTGCCAGCTCAAAATCTAGGTAATATTTCTTTCTATATTATTAGTAGTACAGTTATAAAAGGAGGTTACTTGAATGATTAAACAACATTATATTATTTTAAGGGACTGACATATATTGTAAAATTAATCAGATATAAAGCAAATCCTTGCCTATAACTCACCTTGAAGCAAGTGTTCCATCATGTTAATGGTACCGCCAGTGACTGGCATCATAGTAACAGGTGGGGCCTCCATTCTATGAAGTTCCCTATAACAGCAGAGAATACAATATATATAACAGAATACAATATATATAACAGTTTCAACATTGTTTCTGCAAACAAAAGGGACGTATTTATCCAAGAAAAAGATAGTTGATATGTCTTTCTCCTTTTATAATTTTTGCACATACATCTCCTACCATCTAATAGTCAGTAAGGAGTCCAAAGTCAATTAGAAGTTGAATGAACATTTGGTTGTGGTGGTATGTTTTTTTAAATGAGGTGTAGAACCACAGATTTAATAACACTGTTGTGGTGCAATACAATCATTTTTTTTGTAAAGAAAAGAGGCAACTCTTGTATAAATAAGCCCATGAAAATGACTAGTTTAGCTTTCAGATGAGAAACAACAGCCTGCTGCAGACTAAAAGGTAATCCAGAAGTGTGGCTAGGTTACTATGCCATGCTAAGTCAAAACATGCCGGCTTCTTTGGGTGATGTGAAACCAGACAGCATTATTATGATTAAATATTAATCATACAACACACAAAAATATATAAGAAAAAAATTCAAGGAGGCAATCGTGCCTATTTTCCCCATTATTCTGTGAAGTGAGTTGGGCACTACAAACTGTAGTTTACAGCTTAGAGTCAGACCATGTATGAATCCTGACAATAAAATGTAATTCAGTCAATTATGGCTAAGGCACAAGACGCATGGTGGACTCCTTCCTGATGCAAATTTAAATCCCACCTGCCTAACAACCCACCGCGAAGTAAAACTCCACCATCACCATCGACACACATCACTTCACCAAAACTTGTCAAAGTCTTCCTGCATTTGCTGTAGGCCCCAGTTTCCCTGGAGGAGGAGGAGAATAAGCACGATTTGGGGTAACGTCTGAACTGTTGCTAGTTTATTTTTTAATTCCTTCCACTTCCTTGACTCCGGACGGCTCATAAGTCAAATCAGCAAAAAAGAAATTCGACTCGATAACATTAAAACAATGAACCAAGGAACATATAATCTCCTTGATCATTATTGTCGTCGTTATCCTGAGACAAGTATCCTGGGGCAGATGCAAACGTTTTGCCTTTTTTCTCCTCTGGAGAAATTTGCCTGTAGCTGCAACTGAGTCCCAGACAGCCCTCCCCAAGTCTCCGCTTAAAGAATAAAGCTCCTGGGTCAGCCAGCACGCACCTGTCCGCCCGGTGGAACAAACCCCTCTCGCTGCACGTGGGAATCCCGCAAACAAGGACGCTTCTAAAGCGGGAGAGTCTCTCCACCTGGACTCCAGCAAAGCGCACGCGTCCACGCCTGCGTGTTCCTCTTTGCCTGTTCTGGGCGGCGCCATCTTCCTTATTGCGTCATTGTACGGAAAGCTGCAGGCCATGACCGGCTTGGGTGAAAGAGAGAAAATAAAATGCTGCTTTACAGTAATGGAGCTCCACTGGGGAAGCCTGGTTTGTCTCTGCGTGACGTTTAATTTTTGCGCCACTCAGAAGACATGGGTATACAAAACAGTCTGAATTCTGCAGTTTCGTTGGTGTCCTTTAGTTCAGATCCAGGCAGGTTGGAGTTTAGGATACTAAATGCTTTTAGATCTTGAATTGAGGTTATTTCGGATCATAAAGTTATGCTTAGGAGGAAGATTAGGGAGAGTAACTTTATTGGTCAAGATAAAAATGTGGGTTTTCTCTTGCTTTTAAAATACTTTGTTCATGAAACAAGATACGGTCTTGGCATATAGTTGAGGTTTGGGCTCTTTACTCTTCAATATTTTTATTAATGATTTGGATGAAGGTGTAGAGGAAATTAGATAACATGCAGTTGCATGGCGCTAATACATTAGAAGACAAAGTGCAATTCAAATTAAATTTGATATGTTAGACAGTGTTTCCCAATTTAGCAACTTCAGGAGATGTGGATTTCAAGTCCCAGAAATCCCCAGTGGAGCTCTGGGAGTTGAAGTTCATGAGTCTTAAAGTTGCCAAGGTTAAAAAACAGGTTTAATATGATATTTAAGAGACAAATGCAAAGTTTTTCATTTTGAAAACAAACCCTAGATACAGGCTGAGGAATATCTGACTGCCAATAGCACTTGACAAAATAAAAATGCTGGAACCTGTCTTTAACTTTTCAATTGCACCTCACAACAGGCACCTGCAACCAAAACAAGAACATATATTTTGATGAAACTTCCATCAAATGCAACTTCAGAAACTTTATGCACACATGCACACAGACACATATATTTAATTGCCAAATTCTCCAAACCCCCCTGCTCTTACTAAGAGAGGAAGAAAATAATAGGTTTATATCATCTCTTAATTTAGAACCACTTTGGTGGTGAAGGTGCTGGACTAGAAACCAGGAGAGTGTGAGTTCTAGTTTCACCTTAGGCATGAAAACTAGCTGGGTGACTTTGGGGCAGTCACTCTCGCAGCACAACCACCTCAGATGGTGTTATGGGGAAAATCTCCATTGTATTATATGTATATGCCATTTCTCTGTTTTCATGCAGTTCCTGGCCCCATTTGATTTGAGGTAGTCTTCACTTACCAACTGTCTCATTTAGTGACCATTTGAAGTTACAATAGTGTAAAAAAAACAGCTTTGTGACCAATCCTTGAATTTACAACTGTCCCAACATCCCGTGGTTACATGATTACCATTCATGTGCTTCCCAATTAGTGCCTGACAAGTGGAGTTAATGTAGAACAGGAGTGTCAAACTGCTGGCCTGTGGCCGAATGCGTCATCAGGAAACCACGCTCACCCATTGCCGGCAATGGCGAAAAAGCTCCGATACGTTGTGCGATGTCATGTGACATCGCGAGTTTGACATGTCTGATGTAGAACATGGAAGTAAAACTGCAAGTTGCAGTCACATGATGCTTCACTTCATGACTGAATAGGAAGTAAAATCGTAATTCACAGTCATCTGGTTTTCCATTAGCGATTATAGTGTTTAGTGAGGGAGTTAAAACTGTGGTAACTAATTGAGGCCTACCTGTGTTAGTGTTATTTGTAGTCTCCAAATATATATACTTGAGTCTTGAGGCACCACTATATTCATGCACACTTTTAATAACCTGGTTTCTGATTAACTAATTTCTGGCCTTACAAAATACTCTGGATTATAAATTAAGCCAATAACCCGGATTCACACAGTCCACTTATCTGAAAAAGAATGAACCAAGATAAAAATTTGGTTCACGTTTATCTCTAGGTAAACAAGCTGCCGCTAAATCTTTCCATAACTAAGTGAGTTGCATAAATCCAGACCTTCAGCATCAGGAATCAGCAGCATTGGGGAAAATCCAAATTCTACAGAAATCCATAAATATCCTTAGGAGGGAAAAACCCAACCCACCTCCTTCTGAGTCAGGAATTTTTCACACTGCCCAAAATTTAGTGGGCACCGGATGCTGACTAAGCATTAGAGTGAAAACAAGAAAATATTATGCAATCGTGTCCTGAAGGCAGGATGAGAATAAGGGGTAGAAGATCATTAGAAATGGTCCAACCTAAAACTAAGGAGAAATTTCCTGACAGCAAGAACAATTAATTAGTGGAACTGCTTGCCTCCAGAAGTTGTGGGTACTCCAACACTGGAGGCCTTTGAGAAGAAATTGGACAGCCATTTGTCCAGAATGGAATAGGACAGTAATAGTAAGGTGACCAACTTCTTTACAATGAAAAGGAGGACACAAATAAATTGAAGAAAAAATATCATAAATAAAAGAAACATTTTATTTATTGCAACAATAATACAGACAACTTGCATGTGCAAAGTTTGCCAGCCGGGTGTTTTGGCGTGCTCAGCAGCAATTCCTATTGGCTTTCGAAAGCCAATAGTGGGAGTAGCACAGCTCATGCAAAAGTTGGGGGAAAAAAATCCATCAAAAAAAGGTGCCGGAATGCCATTCTGAGCATTCTACGAGGGAAAAAAAAGCCCTGCAGATTAGTCTTCAAATACTGAAAAGGAGGACATGAAGGAGGACACTTTTTGAGGGAGGACAGAACTTACAAAAGGAGGATTGTGAGGACGGTTGGTCACCTTAGTAATAGCAATAGCACTTAGACTTATATACCTCTTCATAATGCTTTACATCCCTCTCTAAGCATATTGCTTCGAACAATCTGGGTCCTTATTTTACCAACCTTGGAAGGATGGAAGGCTGAGTCAACCATGAGCCACTGAGAATCAGACTCCTGGCCGTGAGCTGAATTAGCCTGCAATACTGCATTCTAACCACTGCGCCACCACGGCTCAGGATTTCCTGCAATGAGCAGAAAGTTGGACTAGAACAGGGGTCCCCAAATGCAGGCAGCACACAAAACCACGCACCCTCCAGTCCGCGGAAAAACCTCTCTCTATGGAACCAGTCCCTGGTGCCCAAAAGGTTGGGGACCCCTGGACTAGAAGACCTCCAAGGTCCCTTCCAGCCCTATTATTCTACATTCCAGGATTAAGGAAAATGACATTGGCACCAGAACAAAATATTCTGAGTAGAGAACTGGCTGATGAGAGTGCTAAATTAAATCTTTTGTGCTGCAGTTCTCTTTGTGATTCTAACAGGCTATCGGATACACTGATTTATACATTCCTATTTTCAATTTTTAAAGCAACTCTTGGCCTTTGCCCTAGTAAACCACTTCTAGGTTTTGTTCATAGTCCTTCTGTCTCAGACATCGCTTCATCATATGGCTGGCAAGATAGGAAGTTGTTGTATTGCTTTATAGCTAGCAATCTTTGACCATCTCAAAAACAATTACCCACTTTATCATTTAAAGTTGGTGCATGTCTGGACTTGGGACAGGTTGCTCATATGATAACATGAATCTGGTTTTCATGATTAGAATGATTTTGTAATTACTGTGTAGCAGGGATTTTCAAACTTGGCCCTTTTATGACTTGTGGACTTCAACTCCCAGAATTCCTCAGCCAGCGTGCCTGGCAGAGGAATTCTGGGAGTTAAAGTTCACAAGTCATAAAAGGGCCAAGTCTGAAGACCCCTGCTGTATAGAAATAGTTTGAAATGTGAACTGTAAAGCAAAATGATGTGATATTATTTTTGTAATCTACTGCACCAAAGAAAATTGGAAGTCATTGCTTCTTTCTTCTGTCTTTGTCCTTTTCTCTGTGCCTTTTTTTTTCCTTTTCTGACTTTTGCTTCTTGTATGTTTTTATTTTATAATGAAACTTAATTTTTTAAAAAATGCGAACCTGGAAAGTTTTTTTTAATACATGTGCTAGTTCAAATTCAGTTCACAGTGAATACATATCTAGCCAAAGACTGCCCTGAAATATGCAAAGACATATTTTCTATTCGTGCAAATTCTGTCTATAAAGAAATAGACAAATCTTTGAGTCACACAGAATTCTTTATCCAATAGAGATAAAAACTTAACATGCCATGTTGTGTCATCTTCCTTATCGCAGCTTTACTAACACAAAGCCTTGAGAAGCTTATAGCTGGCAATTAAGCAAGCAGCTGAAACAATTTAGTTCTTTCTTTTCCCCATAAAAATACATTGTATTTTCAAGAAGATTTGGCATTAAAGTCATCCTCCTATGCTGAGAAGATAAGTCGTATGTTTTTGTTTCAGATTCCATGTGAGTTTTAATAAGAAGAACATCTTGTAAAAAAACACCTTTGGTTTTATTAACCATTGTCATTAACAAGCAGATTTATATATCTGAGAGCTATTAGGTTAGAATGCAGGTATATACCAGCACAGCCAACCTCTGCACATCAGCCTGGCAGATGCGGAAATGAAAACAATCCAGCGGAATCAGTGTTTTTCAACCTTGGCAAACTTGCTGGGTGGGGAATTCTGGGAGTTGAAATCCACACATCATAAAGTTGCCAAGAAACATTGAGCTAAATACAACAAGTTCAAGCAGTCCTTTGATAGGACTGCTTGAGAGGCCAGCTTGATGGGGTGGTTAAGGTGCTGTCCTAGAAACCAGGAGACTGTGAGTTCTAGTCCCTTAAGCACAAAAGCCATCTGGATAACCCTGGGCCAGTCACTCTCTCTCAACCCAACCCATCTCAAAAGCTAGTTGTGGGGAAAATAGGAGGAGGAAGGAGTATTAGATATGCCTGCTGCCTTGAGCAATAAAGTAATAAAGGTGGGATAAAAATAATAATAAATAAATAAATCTCTTGTGGGTGAAGAGGCAGGTCAGCTGGCTAGAGCAGTATTTTTCAGGCTCAGCAATTATAAGTTGTATGGACTTCAACTCCCAGAATTTCCTAGCCAGTATTGGGATAAAGTACAGCAATCACCACTGTATCTTAGGGCAGCACAGTACCTATGCTGCAATGCAGTTGCAGATATGACAAATAGACAGTACAGTGATCCATGCGCTTTTCTTATAGCATATTTACCAATGGCAAACAATCCTTGTAATTAAG